GAGTCCGTCAGTATTAACTCATCCATTCATACACATTCACACGCTGATGGTAGAGGCCTGCTGTGTAAAGAGTCCGTCAGTATTAACTCATCCATTCATACACATTCACACGCTGATGGTAGAGGCCGCAGTAAAGAGTCCGTCAGTATTAACTCATCCATTCATACACATTCACACGCTGATGGTAGAGGCCGCAGTGAAAGAGTCCGTCAGTATTAACTCATCCATTCATACACATTCACACGCTGATGGTAGAGGCCGCTGAGTAAAGAGTCCGTCAGTATTAACTCATCCATTCATACACATTCACACGCTGATGGTAGAGGCCGCTGAGTAAAGAGTCCGTCAGTATTAACTCATCCATTCATACACATTCACACGCTGATGGTAGAGGCCGCTGAGTAAAGAGTCCGTCAGTATTAACTATCCATTCATACACATTCACACGCTGATGTAGAGGCTGCTGAGTAAAGTCCATCAGTCGATCTAAAACTGAGTCACAGCCATCTTTAACATAAATTTAGGTTCATATTAAAGCTGACCTTTAACCCTCTCAGGGTTGGTTCACAGCATCAGACCCACAGTAAAACTGATCGACCTACCTGAGATCTCGAGTTCGGCCCAGTAAGACTTCTTCCCGTTGGCCGCCTCCTCAGCTGACATGATGGTGTAACATCGACGAGGATCAGGAGGATCATATTTTTCTTTGGGCATAACTGTCAATCTAAACAAAACAAAAAATGTTTAAAAACAAGAAAAAACAGTTCTTCATGACCTTTTATAAAGGTGAAATAGACATGTTATTAGCGTGTTATAGTAATATAAATATTAAAGTGTATTATACATGTTATTAGCATGTTACAGTAATATACATGTTACAAACATGTGATAGGCATGTTAGAAGCGTGTTATAGTAATATATATTAAAAGTGTATTAGACATGTTAGAAGCGTGTTATAGTAATATATATTAAAAGTGTATTATACATGTCAGAAGCGTGTTATAGTAATATATATTAAAAGTGTATTAGACATGTTAGAAGCGTGTTATAGTAATATATATTAAAAGTGTATTATACATGTCAGAAGCGTGTTATAGTAATATATATTAAAAGTGTATTATACATGTTAGAAGCGTGTTATAGTAATATATATTAAAAGTGTATTATACATGTTAGAAGCGTGTTATAGTAATATATATTAAAAGTGTATTATACATGTTATAAGCGTGTTATAGTAATGTATATTAAAAGTGTATTATACATGTTATAAGCGTGTTACAGTAATATACATGTTATAAACATGTGATAGGCATGTTATTAGTGTGTTACAGTAATATATATTAAAGTGTATTATACATGTTTTAAGCGTGTTATAGTAATATATATTATACATGTTTTAAGCGTGTTATAGTAATATATATTAAAGTGTATTATACATGTTTTAAGCGTGTTATAGTAATATATATTGTTGTTGTTAAGTGTATTATACATGTTTTAAGAGTGTTATAGTAATATATATTAAAAGTGTATTATACATATTTTAAGCGTGTTATAGTAATATAAATATTAAAAGTGAATTATACATGTTTTAAGCGTGTTATAGTGATATATATTGAAAGTGTATTATACATGTTATTAGCGTGTTATAGTAATATATATTAAAAGTGTATTATACATGTTATAAGCGTGTTATAGTATATAAATATTAAAAGTGTATTATACATGTTTTAAGCGTGTTAGTAATATATATTATACATAATTTAAGCGTGTTATAGTAATATATATTATACATGTCATTAGCGTGTTACAGTAATATATATTATACATGTTATTAGCGTGTTACAGTAATATATATTATACATGTTATTAGCGTGTTACAGTAATATATATTATACATGTTATTAGCGTGTTATAGTAATATATATTATACATTATTAGCGTGTTACAGTAATATATTATACATGTTATTAGCGTGTTACAGTAATATATATTATACATGTTATTAGCGTGTTACAGTAATATATATTATACATGTTATTAGCGTGTTACAGTAATATATATTAGCGTGTTATAGTAATATATATTATACGTTATTAGCATGTTATAGTAATATATATTATACATGTTATTAGTGTGTTACAGTAATATATATTATACATGTTATTAGCGTGTTACAGTAATATATATTATACATGTTATTAGTGTGTTACAGTAATATATATTAGTGTGTTACAGTAATATATATTATACATGTTATTAGTGTGTTACAGTAATATATATTATACATGTTATTAGTGTGTTACAGTAATATATATTATACATGTTATTAGTGTGTTACAGTAATATATATTAGTGTGTTACAGTAATATATTATACATGTTATTAGTGTGTACAGTAATATATTATACATGTTATTAGTGTTACAGTAATATATATTATACATGTTATTAGCGTGTTACAGTAATATATATTATACGTTATTAGCGTGTTACAGTAATATATATTATACATGTTATTAGTGTGTTACAGTAATATATATTAGGTGTTACAGTAATATATATTATACATGTTATTAGTGTTACAGTAATATATATTATACATGTTATTAGTGTGTTACAGTAATATATATTATACATGTTATTAGCGTGTTACAGTAATATATATTATACATGTTATTAGCGTGTTACAGTAATATATATTATACGTTATTAGCGTGTTACAGTAATATATATTATACATGTTATTAGCGTGTTATAGTAATATATATTATACGTTATTAGCGTGTTATAGTAATATATATTATACATGTTATTAGCGTGTTACAGTAATATATATTATACATGTTATTAGCGTGTTACAGTAATATATATTATACATGTTATTAGCGTGTTACAGTAATATATATTATACGTTATTAGCGTTTACAGTAATATATATTATACATGTTATTAGTGTGTTACAGTAATATATATTAGTGTGTTACAGTAATATATATTATACATGTTATTAGTGTGTTACAGTAATATATATTATACATGTTATTAGTGTGTTACAGTAATATATATTATACATGTTATTAGTGTGTTACAGTAATATATATTAGTGTGTTACAGTAATATATATTATACATGTTATTAGTGTGTTACAGTAATATAATTATACATGTTATTAGTGTGTTACAGTAATATATATTATACATTTATTAGCGTGTTACAGTAATATATATTATACGTTATTAGCGTGTTACAGTAATATATATTATACATGTTATTAGTGTGTTACAGTAATATATATTAGTGTGTTACAGTAATATATATTATACATGTTATTAGTGTGTTACAGTAAATATATTATACATGTTATTAGTGTGTTACAGTAATATATATACATGTATTAGCGTGTTACAGTAATATATATTATACATGTTATTAGCGTGTTACAGTAATATATATTATACGTTATTAGCGTGTTACAGTAATATATATTATACATGTTATTAGCGTGTTAGTAATATATATTATACGTTATTAGCGTGTTATAGTAATATATATTATACATGTTATTAGCGTGTTACAGTAATATATATTATACATTTTATTAGCTTTTTAAAGTAATATATATTATACATGTTATTAGAGTGTTACAGTAATATATATTATACATGTTATTAGCGTGTTATAGTAATATATATTATACATGTCATTAGCGTGTTACAGTAATATATATTATACATGTCATTAGCGTGTTACAGTAATATATATTATACATGTTATTAGCGTGTTACAGTAATATATATTATACGTGTTATTAGCGTGTTACAGTAATATATATTATACATGTTATTAGTGAGTTATAGGTTAGTTGTGACTCCTGCAGTGAATCACACTGTAGGCCTACATGTTAAATATAAACACAGTGAGTCTGAGAGCAGCTTCATGAGGTCAATCGGAGGTGAACATTATATAACCTGTTCACTGAATCACACACAGGTATAAACTTCACACACACCTGAGATTTATCTCTAATTTAACGGAACATTATCCGCTGTTGTTCTTTAATTTAAACAACTTTCAAAGTATATTATATAAAAGTAGATGAAGCTAAGCTAGCTGCGCTAACAGCTGACAGACCAGAGACGGGAACACTGTGTGACTTTAGGTCCCTGAATGTGACATGTTGGAGCCGCTCAGCACCTGTCACACCTGGCTGTCACACCTGGCTGTCACACGCTCACCGTAACCCCTACATGTTCAATGTGTTTACACTGTTAAATATCATTACAACGGAATAAACACGGATTAAAACCGGGTGAACCGTACAGAGAGCTCAAAGCACCGCGATGGATTTATATTGTAGCGGCTTCAGGACGCTCTCTGCCCGGCTTCAGGACGCTCTCTGCCCGGCTTCAGGACCCTCTCTACCCGGTGTCACCGAGGCGGAGCTGGTTCAACATTGAGGCGGATTAAAGTGTGACTTTAACCCGGGACGACTCGGACTACGAGTCCGCAGCGTGACAACAAGGTGTGGATATGTGTTTACCTTCATTCGGGGCAGTGAGAGAGGATCTTTGGAGAGAATCGGTGGAGACATGCAGACACAGCTGATGAACCCGATCAGACCCTGAACGTCTCGGAAACGCAACAAGAACAACAAACGTCACTTCCGCCTGATCCCGTCTTCTTGATGTGGTTATATTTTTGATTATTTATTATTTATATTTGAATTAAATAAAGAAATAAAACTCAGGACGCGTGAGGGAGGATGTAGAGTTCGGTCCCTACTTTAATAGTTAACGTTTAAAAAAGTGAAGACTGGTATTTACAACAAGTGTCATTATATTTACTGAACTTTAGATAAAAGCTCAGCTCCGGGATATACACTTTATATTCTTTAACAGATTAATTATTACAAACTTTAATTGATAAACAATTCCGTGTCGTTATGTCCCAGGTGGAACCTTTGTGTAGTTGACGTTGTTTCCACACGGAGGAGCACAGTCCCAGACATGGCTACCTGCACGCGGACTGTGTGGAAAGGTCAGTAGTTTTTAATTTAACAGAAAAAAATGAAATAAAACCTCATATATTTATTTATTTAAATCATTATTGTTATTGCAGCCTGTTAGCATGACAGCTAACCGGTCCGCTGGCTGTCGCGCTCATGACGTCACAACGAACCTCATGTAAAATAGTTCAGATTTAACCATTTTCTCTTTAAATCACCCTTTAGACTTTTCTATAAAAATAATTAAATGTTATATCTGTTATACTCAAGGGTCTGCCTTTAATTCGGCATTAGTTATTTAGGTAAGGGACCTTTTTACTATCAGCTAAAGACGGTTTTCAGTCATGTTAAATAGTGTTGTGTGTAACTATCAATCTGCACAGGTAAAAACAACACCAGGCTGACTTTATTTAACTTTATTTAACTTTATTTAACTTTATTTAACTTAAACTAGTCCGCACGTTTTCACGTTTTTGATGAAAACATTTAAATTGTCTTCTGTATCATTTAATGTGCAAAGTGTGATTGAACTTCATGAAGAGTTTTTTGTTTTTTAGTGTTTACAGGATGTCAGAGGCAGCTGAGAGCCCGAGGCCCCGCCCACACAGGCGTGTCACAGATGAGCGTACCTGTCAGGACCTTCGCTGCCGTCAGGTGACTTCACAAACCTTTTATTTACAAAGTCTCAGGGTGAAGCTGTGAAGCACATCAGTCTGTTCATGTCAAAGATTAAAGAAGAGAAACAAAGTTAGGAAGCCCGTACGTTAAAGGTTCTGTGATCTCCGTGTTCGTCAGGGCGATGAAGAAGGAGAAGAAGAAGGAGGAGGCGGAGAAGGAAGTGAAGAAGGAGAAGAGGGTGATCGACGATAAAGACAGACACAAGCCGTACGGGAAGACGGCGTGGGCGCCAGTCGATGACGTGTATGTGATGAGGTTTTACCCGAGGACGATCCACGGTGCGGCGGACGCCATCGACCTCCTGAAGAACTTCCAGGTTTTAGACTTCACGCCCAAAAATCAGGCGGTTTTCATCGACCTGAAGCTCGACATGAAGCTGGAGAAGAAGGTACGAAAGAGACTCGCGTTTAGTTTTTTAAATATTTTTTTAGAGATCGGCTGAAAGAGAGAGAGTCTGTTGACCTCTGACCTCATTTATCTTAAAGGTTAAATATCTTTACTGATGTTTTATTCTGAAACTGTTTCACTGGAGAAACTTTTAATCTGAAATTCTTTGCCCTGTTTCCTCCTCAGAAAAGAGTCGACCAGTTCGTCAGCGTCGTTCACCTTCCTCATCCCTTCAGGACGACGGAGAACAAAGTTTTAGTTTTTACTGAAGTAAATAATATAATTTATTAATATAAATAAATATAAAAAGATACAAAAATAACAACAAGATCACTTTTAACGCTCTGTGTGTGTGTGTGTGTGTGTGTGTGTCTGTGTGTGTGTGTCTGTCTGTGTGTGTTTTAGGACGAGGATCAGGTGAGAGAAGCTCAGCTTCACGGAGCGATGTTAGCTGGAGGAGCAGAGCTCATTCAGCCGGTGAGTTTAGAAACAAACATCAAGTTTTTTTTTGTTTTTTTGGCAGGGCTTTTTGTGCCTTTAAAGGAGAGACAGGACAGTGGATAGAGTCTGAAACCAGAGAGAGAGGACAGTGGATAGAGTCTGAAACCAGAGAGAGGACAGTGGATAGAGTCTGAAACCAGAGAGAGAGAGAGGACAGTGGATAGAGTCAGAAACGAGAGAGAGAGGACAGTGGATAGAGTCAGAAACCAGAGAGAGAGAGGACAGTGGATAGAGTCAGAAACCAGAGAGAGAGAGAGAGGACAGTGGATAGAGTCAGAAACCAGAGAGAGAGAGAGAGGACAGTGGATAGAGTCAGAAACCAGAGAGAGAGAGGACAGTGGATAGGTCTGAAACCAGAGAGAGAGAGGACAGTGGATAGAGTCAGAAACCAGAGAGAGAGAGAGAGGACAGTGGATAGAGTCAGAAACCAGGAGAGAGAGAGGACAGTGGATAGAGTCTGAAACCAGAGAGAGGACAGTGGATAGAGTCTGAAACCAGAGAGAGGACAGTGGATAGAGTCTGAAACCAGAGAGAGAGAGGACAGTGGATAGAGTCAGAAACCAGAGAGAGAGAGGACAGTGGATAGAGTCAGAAACCAGGGAGAGAGAGGACAGTGGATAGAGTCAGAAACCAGAGAGAGAGAGGACAGTGGATAGAGTCAGAAACCAGAGAGAGAGAGAGACAGTGGATAGAGTCAGAAACCAGAGAGAGAGAGAGGACAGTGATAGAGTCAGAAACCAGAGAGAGAGAGAGGACAGGATAGAGTCTGAAACCAGAGAGAGAGAGAGGACAGTGGATAGAGTCAGAAACCAGAGAGAGAGAGGACAGTGGATAGAGTCAGAAACCAGAGAGAGAGAGAGGACAGTGGATAGAGTCAGAAACCAGAGAGAGAGAGAGGACAGTGGATAGAGTCAGAAACCAGAGAGAGAGAGGACAGTGGATAGAGTCTGAAACCAGAGAGAGAGAGGACAGTGGATAGAGTCTGAAACCAGAGAGAGAGAGGACAGTGGATAGAGTCTGAAACCAGAGAGAGAGAGAGTGGGGAACGACATGCAGGAGAGAGGCCGCAGGCGGGATGCGAACCCGGGCCGCCCGCCTGAGACGACAGCCTCGATACATGGGACGCGCGCCCTAACAACCACTGAGCCACCAGCGCGCCCCCCAAGTTTTTTTTATCCAATCAGAGATCAGGATTGTAACAAATCAATCAACCAGTGGATGTGAGCTCCTCCCCCTCGCTCTGAGGCGGAGCCCAGGCCCCCCCTGAGGAAACGCACGCAGAATGTGTCTGACTTTGTGTCTGAGGATGTGGACTACCTCTCTGTTCATACAGGACCATACGGCTCGTAGCAACAACACCCAGACCCCATATACTGCAGTACCTCTAAGAGGACCCCCTGAGGGACGCGGTCACAGGCCTTCTCTACGTCTACACAATACATGTTGACTGGACCCCCCAAAAGCCCTGCAAGGGTACGGTAAGAGCACACCCTCTGGTCCCCCTGTATAAAAATGCAAACCACCTTTGTCTGCAGAGACTGGCCCAGAAGTTCAACAACAAAGCACCCCTCTGGTTCAGATCCTGTAGGCCGTTCCTCCCATCACCCCCTCCAGGCGTCTCCATCGATGCCCACGTGAGCGTTGAAGTCTCCAAGAAGGATTACAGAGTCCCAGGCTAAAAAACCCTGATCCAGGACCCTCAGTCCGTGATCTTTTTATTCATCGCCTCTTGCATTTTTACCATGTTGGCTTTTTGGATGTTCTTTTGTCTTTTTGCCTTCCTGCAAAACCAAATCGCCCTTCAGGGATGAATAAAGTCAAAGTTGAGGACCCCGCCCAGAGTCTCCCAGAAGGCCTCTGAACACACGACAGTCTGAGCTTTACTCCCGCGACCTGGCGTCACAGATAGGCCACCCTCTCGTTCGCCCATAGCCTCTCACTTCTGGTGTCTCCAGAAAAGGAGTCCAGTCCCTCTCCAGGAGTTTGGTTTTAGAAGCGGGGTGCCGCCCAGTCTACAACGCACTGTCCCCCCTGCCCGTCTCTGCAGGTGGCGGGCCCCAGAGGGCGCTATTCTTTTGTTGATTTTGAGTTTGATCTGGATTTTTTTTCCCCCAGATCCTGGATGACGAGATTTCTGCAGATTTTTACGTGGCTGTTCCAGAGATTCTGCAGAAACTCGTGGCGCTGAAAAGCAAACTGAGGAAGAAGTTTCCAAAGAGCAAACGAGGTGAGCTGTGACCTTTGACCTCCTGATGAATGAATAATAAAAACGGTTTGAAATAACTGCTACATTCTTTCTGTATGAATCAAAGATGAACACATTTCAGATCTGAACATATATGATGAATTATTCAGCGCCGGTCGTTTCCGTGTGATTTTCAGGGTCAGTGGGCGTCGACGTCCCTAAAATGTTGGATTTATTTAAAACGGGTCACGAGTACCTGGTGGAGGACGAGTGCTACATCAGGACTCAGATCGCCACGGTAACTAAAACACTGAGAATAATTCTAACTATCCATCTAAACCTTTATAACATGTTTTAGTTTTCATAACTTTTATAATCTGTATTTTTCTGCTCGATCAGCTCGACATGAACAAACATCAAATCTATGAAAACCTAAAAAACATCGTGAGCGACGTCTGCTCGCACGACCGGCTGACAAGGGTAAGTTCACCATCGTCTTCACAGCTCACAGGAAAAAACACTGACTCTGTTTAAATCTCTGACTGGATGGATTCCTCCCTCTCCTCTCTCTCTCCCTCCTCCTCCTCTTCCTCCTCTCTCTCTTCCTCCTCCCTCTGCTCCTCCTCTTGTACCTCCTCTTCCTCCTCCCTCTGCTCCTCCTCTTGTACCTCCTCTTGTACCTCCTCCTCCCTCCCGTCCTCATCCTCCTCTCCTCTCCTCTCTCTCTCCCTCTCCTCTCTCTCTCCCTCCTCCTCCTCTTCCTCCTCCCTCTCTTCCTCCTCTTGTACCTCCTCTTCCTCCTCCTCTGCTCCTCCTCTTGTACCTCCTCCTCCTCCCGTCCTCATCCTCCTCTCCTCTCCTCTCTCTCTTCCTCCTGCCTATCCTCCTCCCCTTGTACCTCCTCTTCCTCCTCTCCTCTCCCTCCTCCTCTTCCTCCCTCTCCTCCTCCTCTTGTACCTCCTCCTCCCTCTCGTCCTCGTCCTCCTCCCTCTCCTCCTCCTCATCCCTCTCCTCCCTCTCTTCCTTGTCCCTCTCCTCTTGTACCTCCTTTTCCTCCTCCTCTTGTACCTCCTCTTCCTCCTCCTCTTGTACCTCCTTTTCCTCCTCTTGTACCTCCTCTTCCTCCTCCTCTTGTACCTCCTTTTCCTCCTCCTCTTGTACCTCCTCTTCCTCCTCCTCTTGTACCTCCTTTTCCTCCTCTTGTACCTCCTCTTCCTCCTCCTCTTGTACCTCCTCTTCCTCCTCCTCTTGTACCTCCTCCCTCTCCTCCTCCTCCTGCCTCTCCTCCCTCTCTTCCTTGTCCCTCTCCTCTTGTACCCTCTCCCTCCTCCTCCTCTCCGTCCTCCTCCCCTTTTACCTCCTTTTCCTCCTCCTCTTGTACCTCCTTTTCCTCCTCCTCTTGTACCTCCTCTTCCTCAGGACCGTTCATCGAGCGTGCGATCATGTCGACTCAGGCGAGTGAAGCGTTGTGGTTCAGGAGTGAAGACGTTTTACTGAAAGCAGCCGATGAGAAGAAGAAGAAGAAGAAGGAGGAGTGACCTTTGTTTGCTGTAGATGTATTAACATATATAAACGATATATAAATCAATATATTGTCTGTTAATAATTTATTGATTTATTTACATTTATATATAAAATGTGTTTGAATAAATGTTCTGTGTTCAATAAAGTTTCATCGTTTAAAATTTGTATTTAAAGTAAAACATTTGGGGTTCGATTCAGATGGCGCTGGTGGCGCAGTGGTTAGTGAGCGCGTCCCATGTACGGAGGCTGTAGTCCTTCAGCGGGCGGCCCGGGTTCGAGTACGATCTGTGGCTCCTTTCCCGCATGTCATTCCCCTCTCTCTCTCTCTCTCTCTCTCTGTCTCTCTGTCTCTCTCTCTCTCTCTCTCTCTCTCTCTCTCTCTGATTTCTGACTCTTCACTGTCCTGTCTCTCCAATAAAGGCACAAAAACAAAAAAAAAGTCAGGTTTAGTTCATTCTGAGTCTGTTACTATGGTAACTCGAGCTCTGGTGACTCATTCTCTGAGTCCGTTAAAGAGACTCAGAGCTGAACTCTAATCACCTGATCTGGAAGCAGAACTAAGAGTCCCCCACCTGAGAAACCAGAGAGGTCAGAGTGCCCCACCTGAGAAACCAGAGAGGTCAGAGTCCCCCACCTGAGAAACCAGAGAGGTCAGAGTCCCCCACCTGAGGACCAGAGAGGTCAGAGTCCCCCACCTGAGAAACCAGAGAGGTCAGAGTGCCCCACCTGAGAAACCAGAGAGGTCAGAGTCTCCCACCTGAGGACCCGAGAGGTCAGAGTCCCCCACCTGAGGACCAGAGAGGTCAGAGTGAGTCCAGTCCACCTGACAGGAGTCTCTCTGTGAGGAGGGTCCTGGTTTGAATCCCCGTCCTTCAGGAGTCTCTCTGTGAGGAGGTTCCTGGTTTGAATCCCCGTCCTTCAGGAGTCTCTCTGTGAGGAGGTTCCTGGTAGAGTCTGCATGTTCTCGTTCATGTGTGGGTTCTCTCCGGGTACTCCGGCTTCCTCCCACAGTCCGAAGACATGCTCGTTAGGTTCAGTGATGATGGATGGATCAAACCTCAGTGTGTGCCCACGATCTGTAATATGATCTGCTGTAGTTCTCGTTCTGAACACCAGGTGGCAGTGTGTACTCTGCTGACCTCTGGCGGTGGTGTCAGAGGGGGGGATGGGTTAGGGTTAGGGTCCATGTTTTCTTGGATATTGTCTAACATACTGCTCAGACACAGGAGCAACATGGAACTCCCTTAGAGAGTCTGACCCCGGACTTATTTACACTCAACAACTTTAAACGTCTCCATCGTAAAAACTTGTTCATTCCAAGGTCTGATCTTCCTGAAGTTGTACAGGTTCACATGACCCGGACTTTCAGACTCTGCTTTGTAGTTTAAAACTGTTTCGGGGGCGCTGGTGGAGCAGTGGTTTGTGCGTGCACCAAATGTATGGAGGCATTGCTCCCCCAGGCGGGCGGCCCAGGCTCGAATCCCACCTGTGGCTCCTTTCCCACATGTCATTCCCCTCTCTCTCTCTCTCTCCCTGATTTCCAACTTCATCCACTGTCCTGTCTCTCCATTAAAGGCACAAAAAGCCCCAAAATAAAATGTTGTAGTTTCAGACTCTGTTTTGTAGTTTAAAACTGTTTTGTAGTTTCAGACTCTGTTTTGTAGTTTTAAACTCTGTTTTGTAGTTTAAAACTCTGTTTTGTAGTTTCAGACTCTGTTTTGTAGTTTAAAACTCTGTTTTGTAGTTTAAGACTCTGTTTTGTAGTTTCAGACTCTGTTTTGTAGTTCAAAACTGTTTTATAGTTTCAGTCTCTGCTTTGTAGTTTGATACTCTGTTTTGTAGTTTCAGACTCTGTTTTGTAGTTTAAAACTCTATTTTGTAGTTTCAGACGCCGTTTTGTAGTTTAAAACTGTTTTATAGTTTAAGACTCTGTTTTGTAGTTTAAGACGCCGTTTTGTAGTTTAAAACTGTTTTATAGTTCAAGACTCTGTTTTGTAGTTTCAGACTCTGTTTTGTCGTTCAAAACTGTTTTATAGTTTCAGTCTCTGCTTTGTAGTTTGATACTCTGTTTTGTAGTTTCAGACTCTAATTTGTAGTTTCAGACTCTGTTTTGTAGTTTAAAACTGTTTTGTAGTTTCAGACTCTGTTTTGTAGTTATAAACTCTGTTTTGTAGTTTAAAACTCTATTTTGTAGTTTTAGACTCTGTTTTGTAGTTTAAAACTGTTTTGTAGTTTAAAACTCTGTTTTGTAGTTTAAGACTCTGTTTTGTAGTTCAAAACTGTTTTATAGTTACAGTCTCTGCTTAGTAGTTTGATACTCTGTTTTGTAGTTTTAGACTCTGTTTTGTGTTTTGTAGTTTGATCTAATCTAATATGCAGGAAATCATTGTTTGAAGTCCAATCTTTAATTATATTTGAAATAATAATAATAATAATAATAATAATGATGATGATAATAATAATAATAATAATAATAATGGGATTAAGTGATTAAATATAATAGTTTTTCCCTCCTGATGTCTAATTTAATTCATTAAAACTTCTGGTCACAAAGTGTTTCAGAAGAGGAGTTTCAGCTCTGCTGTGTCTCTGCAGCTTTTTAAAGGAAGCTGAAGGTGTTTGATAAATCAGGATGTAGATTGTCTGATGTGAACCAGGGGGTCAGAGCAGAATCCTCGCTTATTTCGATAAGTCTGGCTCATTTAAGTGGGAGTTTGGTTCCTTCACCGTAGGGTTAGTTAATTATTGCGTTCATGGAGCGACTTGAGACTTAATTAGGAGATGTAGTTAGTTTCAGTCTGACTTTTTCAGGTGAGCTTGGCTTTCTTTAGTTGATGGAATGCCCCCCTGAGGTGCTGACCTGTGTTTGTGTTTTCATGTGTTCATGTCAGTAACTTTAAAATGTGCTGCTGCCTGTCTCTTTAAAACAGATTCTTAATCTCAACCAGGTTTTCTGGTGAAATAAACTTTGAATGAAATAAATAATAACAGGCGCTGGTGGGGCAGGTTAGTCAGCGTGCCCCAGGTATGGAGGCCATGGTCCTCCAAGCGGGCGGGCCAGGTTTCGAACCCAACCTGTGGCTCCCTGTGTCATTCCCCTCTCTCTCTCTCCCTGATTTCCAACTCTACCCACTTTCCTCTCTCTCTCCATTAAAGGCACAAAAAGCCCGAATATAAATCTTTAAAAGAAAATAAAAATAATAACCCTCCCACGTGGTCATGAAGGGCTACCTGTGATGGGGGTTGGGGGAGGAGGCGGGACGTCCCCCCGGAGGAGGAGTGAGAGGGAGGAGGAGGAGGAGGGGAGAGCAGAGAGAGAATCTGCACGGAGGAGAAGCGGAGAGTGAATCTGTGAAACACTGCGGGACACACCGACAGCCCGCTTCATACCGAGCAGACAGCACGGCTCCGTTAGTCCGCACGGTTCAGAACACACGGCCCGGCTCTACCCGCACGGTTTTGCACAGCACGGATCACATAGCAAGAATCACGTAGCACGGATCAGCCCGCACGGCTCGGTGTGCGGACTTTGAAGTCTGGGGTCGAAAGAAAATCAGAGACTGAAAAATCTGAAGCAGGATTTCTTTATTTGAGCGGAGTTCACACCGAGCGGAGCAGCTGGAGGAGGAGAGCAGGAGCGTTCAGTCCTCCTCTTTACTGAGGAGGTGCAGGACTCAGTCATCCGGGTTTCAGGAGGAGTACGGCTTACTCCTCCTGGTCTAAGCCGCATTCCGGAGCTCGGAGCTCAGACTGAGTCTCGGAGTTTCAGGGGTTTTCTGGATGTTTCTGAGATGAACCGTGACCAAGGAGTCCGGTTTGATTAGAGACACAGGAAAACAGCCCCACAGTCTGTACCTGGACCTGGACTAACCCGGCACGGCTCGGATTATGGCTACGGTCTGGCTGCTTGTGGTCTGTGTGGCTGCGGGTCTGTGCGGGATTCATGGTGAGTGTTT